GTTGAGCACCTGGTCCAAGATCACAGAAAAAGTAGTTCTCATATCTCCTGATGGCTGGAAAGGAAACTCCTCAAAGTCTGAGGGCTTGGCCCAGGGCCCACTCAAAGACTCCAGCACTTGAGATCCACCAGACCTGCCTTATAAGCCCAAAGGCTGGGTGGCCAGCTCGGGTTCTGGGCCAGGCCTTGTAGGGATACAAGGCCCTGCTGCCAAGTGCTCAGCCCCAGGATGGCCTCCCCTGCCTGGCTAAATTTAGTGGCTTTGTGGTGTGTGGAGGGGGCCGGTGCCCATCCTGGGGCCACTGTCAGGCCAAGCCCTCCAGGGTATGGACACAGGCTCCAGCCGGTCTCCTTAACCACTCAGGGTTCCAAAGTTCAGGGACCACATCTCAGCCCCCACTCCATTGGGCCTGCCTTGGTGTCCCAGGGACTCACTCAGTGCCAAGCCCCTCAGACGCCACCTGAACGAGGCCCTGGGCCAGCCTGACGGATGTAAAGCGAGCTCTGTGAGAAGGGGCAGAGGGTACAACCATGGCCGCAGGGCAGGCGTCTCCCATTGTCTGAACCTTGCTGCCCAGCTTCTCAGACATCTTTCCCTTCCCCTCCATGGCCAGGATGCCCTAATATCCGAGGGCTGACTCCTGCTGTCCTCCTCTCTCCTTTTGGCTGTTTTCCCTCAGGCCCCACATTCTTCCTGCCCCTGAAATAAGGGGCCTCTTAGAGCTGGCCCGAGCCCTTGCTACTCCAGCATGGAGCACTCACTCAGGACGTTCCATCTCCTTAGCAGTTCCTGAGGTATATACACCATCCTCCCCACATGGTAACCACACACCCACCTACCTCCTCAGCCTTCTTTATTTGTTTTTTTTCTTTTAAGTCTGGGTCTCTCTATGCAATTTAGGCTGGCTTTGAACTCACTATGTAGCCCAGGCTGGCCTCAAACTCACTGTTATCCTCCTGCCTCAGCCTCCCGAGTGCTGAGATTACAGTCGGGTACCATTACACTCAGCCATTTTTTTTCTTTTAAATCAAACTGAGTGGCAGTGTAATTCACATATGATTTTTTTGTTTTGTTTTGTTTTGTTTTTCGGTACTGGGGATCGAACTCGGGTCCTTCTGCTTGCGCAGCAGGCAGCGAAACCGCTGAGCTAAATCCCAGGCCCGCACATATGATTTTTATTGTCCCCATTTTCATTCCTGGAATCCCAGCTACTCTAGAGGCTGAGACAAAGGATAGCAAGCTAGAGGCCTACAGAAGACTGTAATAGTGATTATGCCCAAGCAGGCTGTGAAGAGTTAACCCCACAATTTGCACCCAAATTCCGTTCCCACAACTAAAACCTTCTTATTAGGACAATGTTCTAATTACAACCATATATTTTGTCTACTCTGTTCCTAATTCGAGAATGCTTTGTCTTGCCCCCCACGAACCTTGCTTACATTAATTTCCATAGAAGCCACGTGACTGGGCATCCTTGCACATAGTTCTGGCCTTGCATGTAGCTCGCCTTTACTCCCAGGTGATTACCAATAAAAACTAGTGGCTTGGACTGACCAGCACCTTTGTTGGTTGCACCAGCATTGGTTGTCCTGGCACCCCACTTTCTCTCTCTCTTAGTTCTGTCTTTTAGTTTTTTGCCCCAGGCCTGTGTCATACACTGGGCAGGAGACTGGAGCCTACTGCAGAGGTTTCCAGTAATGTTTCAGGGGTCCTCAGTAATTGGCGCCCCATATTGGGCCAACCTGAGCAATTAAGCAAGACCCTGTCTTAAAAAGGGCTGGGGATAGAGCTCAGTGGTAGAGAACCTCTGAGTCTGATCCTCAGTATCAATCACACACACGCGTACAAACTAGAGGCTAGGTGTACAATCCCAGTACTTGAGAGACTGAGGCAGGAGGAATGCAGGCTTAAGGCCAACATGTGCTACATAGGGAGCACAAGGCCAGCCTGACTATATAGCAATGTCACAGGGAAGTGACTCCCAATCTGTTAGTTGAGTTCGTGTCTCTCAATAACCGAAGAATGGACCCAAGGACAGAGAGGTTAAGAATAGGAAAAGTTTCTTGAGAGAAAGCCCCTGAGGGACAAGAGGAGTTCTGAAAGTGGGTTGCTGCCGAGGCTGTCTGTCCAGGGGTAATTTATACACACAATCACAACATGGGTAACTATGGGTCAAGCTACAGTCCACCTACAGGATTACAGGTATAGTAGCTTAGCTAACATTGATCCAATAGGGAAGACAGGCCTGCAGCGAGAGTATACAGCGGGCATCATTAACTTTAGCTTGTCTATAACTTCGAACATAGAAAGATCAAAGGTGTTTTGGGAAAGGGATAGGGGTATGGGTCAGGGTGCTCATCTGCTGCCTTATCTAGGCCCACTGGACCAGGTGGTGCTGATTACAATTTCAAGCTTCACTCTATCTCTAGGGAGGCCTGCAGGCCTGGCTCAATTCCAATTCATCCCCACCACAATTTTGGTGCATCTCATCTTCTGCACCGACCCCTTTGAGGGCCCTGTCCCTCTGACTGCCTGTTAACCTCTACTTAACTTTGCTGTCTACAGTAGCAAGACCCTGTCTCAAAACAAAAACAAAAACAAAATTTTTGAAAGGGAAAGGAAAAAAGTACCCAGTGTTTGGTGAATTCTGACAAATGCATGTAGCCATCTCTGCCCATCCTGCCATCCTGGAAGGTTCCCTCCTGCCCATTTGCTGCCCATCTTTCCCAGCTCATAGGCCTAGGCAATCACTGATCTCCCTTCTCACTACAGAATTGCCCTGCTTTGCCCAGGTGTGGAGGGTGCACACCTACAATCTCAGCACTAGGGAACCTAAGGCAGGAGGACTGCAAATTCAAGGCCAGCCTGAGCTACACAGTAGGAGCCTATGTTAAAAAAAAAGTTAAAAAGAACTGTCCTGCCTTTCTAGAACTTCATAAAAGTTGAATCACACAGTATGAGTCCTGTTTTTGTGTCTAGCCTCTCCTAGAAAATCAGCCCAGTGGTTTCCAGCTTCTTCCGTGTTGCCGTGCATGCCAGCAGTTTGCTCCTCTGATTGCAGAGGAGTATGTGTGTGTGCCCAGTTGGTTCAGCCTTCACCTGCCGATGGCCATTTGGAGCCGTTACAAATACTCGAGCCGGTGTGTGCATGTCCCCCTCTCTCCTCCTGCCTCTGGTTTTGCTCCTCCTCCTCCTGGCATGCCAGGGAGCTCAGATTGCTTGTTTCTGGTAGGGCAGGGGGGCCCAGGGGCATTTTGGCAGCTGCCACCCAAGCCAGACAGGAGTGTGCCGGGACTTGCCCTGGAATTCCCTCCTGGCTGAGCACTGTGAGGTGAGGAAACCTCTCTGTTTACCTTGGCCGCCCTGCGTTGGCCTGTGGACTCCATGCTGTGGGCTGGACAGAGCTGGATGTGGGCAGGCCTGGGAGGGGGTGGAGAAGCAGGCCTGACCAGGGAGCCCACGAGGCTGCGGGCAAGGCTGGAGCCAGCACACCTCTGGAACACATCTCTGTGGCCCATCCTAGCTCCCCACCCTGCCGTCCCGCTACTATGACACAAATCAGACGGCCAGATCCTCGGAGGGCCTTGGGTGCCTCACCTATCACTTGGATTCCTACCTGCTGCCTGGCCCATCACAGGGCTGGCTAAGACCCTGGGAGACGAGGAGCATGAAAATGGACCATTACACATGGGCCCAAGTGGCAGGAGCACCCTCTGCCCACCCTGGCTCCAGCTGCCCCCCTCCCTGTGCAACCTGGGAGCCCCTAAGGGTAGGGTCTGTCTCCTCTGCTACAGCTGGCTGAATGGGCTTGCCACCCAGGCAGTGACACTAGGCCAGTCCTTTAAAAGCCCCTGCACTTGACTTAATGCTCTGCTGTCACCCCTCCCCCTCGGCCCCCCAGTACTGGGGATTGAACCCAGAGCCTTCATGCTCAGCTACATCCTCAGACCACTTTTTTTTTTTTTTTTAAATTTTGAAACAGGGTCTCACTAAGGTACAAAGTTGCCCAGGCTGGGCTCCAGTTTGTAGCTCTCCTGCCTCAGCTTCCCAGAGTGCTGAGATTATAGAAGTGTTCCATCTCACCTAACTGTCATCCTTAATGACTTGTGTGTGGTGTTGGGGATCAAACCCAGGGCAAATACTCTACCAGTGAGCTACACCTCAGGCTAGTAATTCTTAATTTCTGAATAGATGGGCCCATATTTTCACTTTGCAACGGGTCCTAGAAATTATGCAACCGATTTGGTCCTGTGTCTGGCCATGTGGGCAAGGCCTGAGTCCTCCTCTCAGGACAGCTGGGGAGAGAGCTAGAGACAAACCCTCATGTGTCTTCCTGCCAGTGTAGAGAAACAAGGGACATGGCTGGTCTCTTTCCAGAGCCAGCTTCCAGGATGACAGGGCCACCCAGGCAGGCCACTGGGCCACTGTGGTCTAAGGGAAGCCTTGGGTGGGGTGCATCTGAGCTGGGCTTAGGAGGGTCCAAGGTAGGCAGGATCCTGGGGGTTAGGGGAGGAAAGAGCAAGAGAGAAACCTCAGGAAAGTCCCAGAGCCTATAGAACTGCCAGGGGCAGGGGTGGGGGTCCCTCTTTGCAGTGCAGGTTCTCCTTCGATTCAAGCTCCAGGCCCAGCCAGCCCTGCCTCCGGCTAAGTCACAGACCTTCGCCCCTCCATTCCTGCCCCGCACCCCGCCCTGGTTTCCTTAGAGGTGATGTGCAAGTCATAAGATACTTAAATGGCTTCTGAACACAGCATTCAATCAGTGCTGTCCTTGTGACCCTGATGACAGTCAGCCCCATCCTGCCTCTGCCACTGGGATGTGGTCTTCAAAAAGTCAGTCAAAGCCTTGTCTGGGAGGGAGAGACAGATCTGGGCAATGCAGGAAGCCCAGATCTTCACCCTACTGGGGTGGAGTGGAAAGAGGTGGGCAGGCCCCCGGCAGACACCCAGACAGCAGATGGGGCGCCATACTGCAGGAGACACACGAAGGTGGCACAACACTGTCCCGGACATGCAGCCTTTATTTCTCTCCAATTCGTGTCAGCAGGTGGGTGCAGGGCCCTGCCGAAACCACACTCCCAACTCCAGAACCTGAGAGAGGGGAGGGAGGAGGCCTTGGGGGGAAGGGCTCTGGAAGGGGGAGCCTATTTGTCTGCAAGGCTGGCTGAAGGGGCTTTGGATTCTGGGAACCAACACAAGGATGTGAGTCTTGATTCACATATAAAATAATCACTTTGTACACTCTCAGGGAGGGGTGAAGACACATAGACACTGTTGTCTGCTACACCTAGCTAGTTTTTCCCAAAGGAGCAAAAGCGGAGTTACTCAAAAAACCCTGTCCATTAAATGTTATCTTCTACCATCTGACACATTCGCACAGAAGTGCTCTGAGATCCCCCAGCCCTGAGGGAGGGACAGCAAGTGCCTGGGTAATTATCCTTAGTGACATCTTTCTGGCTCATGGGTGTGTGAGTGGGAGGGATGAACAAAGAGGGAGGCCGAGTCCAGGAAACTCAATCACCCAGCCATGCAGGGCCAGTCACACTCAGGAGGGCACAGTGCCTGGGCACCAGGGACATGGACAGCAGATCCCTCCTCTTGGCAGATGAGGCAACGCTAAGCTACTTGCTTAGAAGAGGGAAACCTGAGCTGGGGAAGGAAGCCAAGCTGAGGCAGGTAGCCCAGTGTCTCCTGGGAAAGGGGGTCCTTGCCAGCTCCTCCTCCGGGTGCCCTGTGTCCTCCCTGACCCTTCAACCCGCCCAGGGCCTACACACAGAAACAGAAACAGGCTCTGGCTCGCAGGACTGGAGGGCTAAGTGGAGGGGCCTGTCAGCCTTTCCGTGTACAGCTAGGCCCAGATGGCCCCTTGGGCTTCCCTCTCTGAGGCCAAGCACGATCCAGACAAGGCACTAGGCAAGAGGTCAGACTCAGCCCAAAGGGCCCCAGGAGTCCTCCTCATTGTGGAGGTCCTGGTCACCAAGTAAAAGCCCAGCCTCTAGCAAGGGAAGCATCTCCAGGACGTGCTAGGGGTGCATGGGGAAGGGGCCCTGAATCTCCCATTTGTGCCAGCCCTGGCTTCTTGGCAGCCCCAGGCAGAACTTCTCAGGAGAGTCCAAGAGACACAGACAGCGAGCGCCCTGCTCAGATGGAAGTGGGGACAGGGACCCCGAGTCTGGGCCTGGGTGTGGCTGTCCTGGCCTCAGACAGGGCCCGGTGGGCAGGTGGGCAGGTGGGCAGGTGCAGTGTCAGGAGAGGGAAGTGGGGCCAAAGCTTGGGCACCATCAGTCTGAGGTTGTTGCTGGAGACTCCGCTCGGTTCCCAGCATTCACTTCTGGTCCTTTTTTTCTGGAAGACAAATCAGAGAGCATCTTAAGATGCCTGGGAGCACACATTCAGGCTGGCTCCTTCCTCAGCCCTTGCACCTTGTTTCTCTGGGAACAGCCCAGCCTCCCACAGTCTCACCTCCTCGGAATCCTGGTCTACCCCAGCCTCACTGGCTCTCCTGGGCTATAGCCTGGAGAATACGGCTGCTGCCTGGATGCAATTCCCTGCAGGCCACTAGGCCTCCCGCATGCCCCATGACCTCCACAGCCCCAACCCGCCCCATGAGAAATTCTCCTCTTGGCTTTTACTCTGGAGAACCACCCCCTACCACCTATCCCTCGTACCTCGGCTTGATGGCAACTAATTTGCCTGGGCCGATTTCTTTCTCTGCTGCCCCCTCCCCCCAGAGGCCTCAAACTCTCAAGGTCCTGCCCCAGGCCCCCAGCCCATGTGGCCTCACCACATGATGTTGCCAGAATCGTGCTGAAGCTCTAGTCCAGCCCCATCATCCTCTCCCATGGCTACCCACTGCCTTCAGAATAAAATCTAGGCCTGTCTGTACCCCAGACCCTTCCATATCCACCCCCTCAGCCTCTCCAGCCCTGCCCTTGACAGCTGCTCACCCACACCTGGGAAGAGCCGGGGGTGGGACCAGAGGACCCCTCACCCAGCCCCACCCAGGGCTGACCCTGCTCCCACAATTCTCCCCAGGACATATCTCTCATAAATCATAGGGAAACCACAGCATTGAGCCTCAGCTAGACTTCCCTAAAAGGCCACTCAGCTGTCTTGGGAACGTAAAGGGTCCCCTCCTTCACCCCCGCCCTGCCTGGCTTTAGGAGGCCCAGGGGATAGGAGCTGCCCACTGCCCCGGGCAGAGCTGTCTGGGCTTCCAGCAAGCCAGTACCTCTACCCCACTTCTCAGACTCAGCCACAGGGGCCCAGCCATTCCTGACAGTCAGGTCAGAGTTCAGGGGGATGACAGTCCACATCTCTGGTCAACAGTGGAGGCAGAAGTGTTGGCTGGGACCGGCACACCCTGGACCAGGCCTTAGTCTCCTCTGCAGAGCAGCTCAGCACCGCTCACCAGCCTCCCTGCCTTTGGTGTTACCTCCTCCAGTCTGTCTCCCACGGTTGCCACAGGCCCTCCCATACTTGCATACCTTTTATGGCTCCCCACTGCCCAGAAGATAATGGCATTCAGGAACCTGGCTACCCTCTGGGTCTCAGCTGCCCTGCACCCCAGGCTCAGCCCCAGCAGATGCCCCCAGCCTCTGTCCTACCATGTCTAGATCTGTCCTTTCAAACCTCTGCTTTGGCACCACAGCCCCAGCCGGGAAGCCCTTCTGACTTGCCCACCCTGCTGGGTGCCCCACCTCCTCTGGGCAGGCTCAGGAATCCTCCAGTCCAGGTGTCAGTGCCAAACAGCATCTGAGACAGACTTTTCCCCACTGGCTGAGACATCTGAGCCATGAGCTGAATTTTCTCATTTTTAAATACTATATTCTCAAGAAAATTTGCTGCACTTTTTGGCCATGAGGGAAGTCTCTTGAGGAAGACAAAGAAGCCGTCTGAGTTTGAGTTGCCCATGTTCCCAGGAGGCCTGGCTTTGCAGGTGAGTTAGTGTGTTGCTGGTAGATGGTCGATGTGCCCTGGCCAGAGCTGGCATGCTTGGGGCCCCAGTGGCTGTCACCCGAAGTTTCATATGCACTTCCTCTTCTGCCTCTACCCAGGGTGTCCACAGAAGAGGAGTCAGAAAGAATCAGTGCCTTGAGGGTGGCAGAATGGCCTGGTCCAGCTGCCCCACGCCCACCCCAGGCTCCAACAGGCCTCACTTTGGTTGAGCACCAAAGATGAGCTTATGACAGACCTATGGGAGACCAGCTCTCCAGAAAGAGGAAGCCAACTCATTTTGGCCCTTTTTAAAAGATAAGATTTTTGCAGGGCCCGGCAGGACTGGCCGGCAAGGGGGATGGGAACCAATTGACTGCCTTGGTCCCTGAGGAATGACAGGCATGTGATTTATTTATAGCCTTCCCCACTTCCCTGGAGCAGGGACACATTCCTGCCAGAAGTGGCCCCCAAAGACCCAACTGCCCAGAGAAGTCCTCAGCCATTGCCCAGCCCAACCTAGGCCTCTCTGCAGCGGTCCAGCCCATTCTTCTGTGACCCCTGCCACTCTGTCCTCCACTCCTGGGCTGAGGCAGCTCCCGCCCTTGCGCCCGCCCACAAGATGACACCAAAGAGGCCAACCCGGTGTGGTCTGGGGTCCGGGAGGTGGTCAGCAGCTGCCTCCTCCAGGCCCGCAGGACTGTCTGTAGAATGCCTGGATAAAGGCAGGCCAGCAGAGGGGTCAGAGGAGGGCCAGAGCAGGGCACAGCTGCCTGGCTGATTGGGGCACGGTGGCAAGTGAGGACAGTGTGGCAGCATGGCCATGAGTGGTGTTCCCACTGGCAGCCAGTTAATTCCCTGAGCCCTGCGGCACAACACCCCAGACACCTCAGGTGACAGTCAGCTGAGCCCCTTCATGACTTCCACTTTGTGATCCCAGGACACCTCTCCCACTGTGCAGACAGGAGGCTGTGAGCAGCGTGGTGCCCCTGCAGAGAGCACGGGCAGGCAGGGGGATGGGCTGGCGGGGGGCAGGGCGGGAGGCACTGGGCCTGCACTCACCGTCCATGTGATTCCGAGACAGGTACTTGAGGGCCTCATCAAGCAGGATGACGGGCAGGGATATCTGGAGCACCACCACCCACTGGTGCCCACTCAGCGGGGTCACCTGGAAAATGAGCTGGTAGAGCGGGAAGGGAGGTGTGGTTGGAGCATGGACCACCGGGACACTGATGGACTCTCCACGAGCACTTTTTTTTTTTGGTGGTACCAGGGATTGAACTTGGGACCTTGCACTTGCAAGGCAGGCAGTGGAACCACTGAGCTCAATCCCCGGCCCTCCACGAGCACTTTTAAGATGCTCCTTGATGTCCCACCTCCAGATCTTTGCCCACTGGGATTCCTCTGCTAGAAGTGTCCTCCACCACCTCACCCCACAGGACAGAAAGCCATCTCTGCTGTTGGGAAGTGGAAGGATTCTGCACCGGCAAAGGCCTGGTCCTGCCTCCCACCCACTGGCGGCCCAGTGACGGTCCCCTTAGCAAGGGCTCTCCCTCTCTTCTGTCCCCCAAGTCAGGGGGCTCCTGGAAGTGGGGCTGCGTCTGGAGGACGAGGGGCAGTCAGACCTCGCACCTCCCCATCCTCCATGGCCCAGGCACCCAGTCCAAAGCCTCCAATAACCAAGGACTGTTTGCTCCTTGTCACCCCAGGTCCTGAAGAGGGGAGGGTGGTGCGGGTGAACTCACAGGCAGGGGCGGCACGAGGAGGATGAGGAAGTGCAGGGCCATGGACATGGCCACAGCGGCCAGCAGCCAGGGATTCAGCCAGGGTGGCATCCGCAGCAGGGACTGGTTCTCCGAGACACTGCCAGGGCACAGGTGCCCACCTCAGGCTCGGCAGCTCTCTCACCGGGCTGCAGGGCTGAGTGGGTGTCATGATGGCACGCTCTGTCCTCTGGGGTCTCCTTGGGGGACCTGGACTCCCTTTCTCTCTCCCTCACATTCAATCCTGGTCCCTCCATTTCTTCAGGGCCAGTCTTGGCTCCCATTGACCCCTAGATCCCAATTCTGGCCCCACTGACTCTGAGAAAACTTTCTGGACCTCTGTGACCCTCAGACTCCAAACCTAAACCAATCTAAGACCTCTTGGCCTTCAGACCCTAATTCTGGACTGCTCTGGCCCTGGAGCACCAATCCTGAACCCCTCTACCCTCAGATCCCAATCCTGGGCCACTCTGACACCAATACTTCTGACCCTGAGCCCCAGTTTGGGCCTTTCTGCCAGCTCACCTGTTGAGGGCGTTGCACATTTCAATGGTCACAAGCACAGACAAGGCCATGGTTGTGGGGAAGTGGGACTCGAAGACCTCACAGTTGACTCCAGCAAAGAGCGGGTTGTCTTCAGAGCACTTCAGGAAGTTCCTCTGAGGGCCAGGAGGGGTGGGGGAGAGCAGCTGTCAGGGAGGAGGTGGCAGGGAGGAGGGAGAATCCCTTACCCGCACCACACGTGAGGACAACTATCGGGTAACTGTCCTAGGGTCCCTGGATCAGAACAAGGAGCCAGTGGCTCAGAAGGAGGACAGCTGACATCAGCAGGGGTCCTGGGGCTGGGAGGGGCGTCCAGATCTGTGGGTACATAGGGGGCCCTGAGTCTCAAGTGAGTTTCAAGGTGCAGGAGTAGGGATGGTAACTGACTGAGATCAGTGAATAAATAAGGAAATTCTCATTCTCTCATTCTCTCTCTCTCTCTGTCTCTCTCTTCCAGGGGCTCAAGTAACCCTCCGACCTCCGCCTTGCAAGTGGCTGGGACTACAGGCATGGGCCACCTCGCCTGGCCCCTCGCTGTCACTAAACAAGTTTCCCTTTCTGTCACTGAAGTCAAGCTCTATCAGACCAGCTTTTTGCTTCTGACGTGGACTAATGAACTGCTGGAGGATGACCTGAACAAGAGGCTTCTCTGTAACTAACTAGAAACCTTCAGGACTCCATAAAGGAAGTGGCCTCGCCCCTTGGCCCCCGAGTTTTCTTTCTGCTCCCATGTCTTGCTCACAGTATCTGATAAGACGCTGAGCTGAGGACCTCTGGGAGAACTTCTGCCCTGTTCTCTTCTGCATCATGGGCGTGGGTGCAAATGTTCAGAACTCTTAACCAGCTCAGTTTTCCAATAACAAACCCACTCGCAGGAGATGAGTCTGTACACAGAGATCTTTTAAACTAAGCGTTTTGGGCTAAGAAAGGGGGGCCCTGTGTTATGAAAATACTCCTCCAAGATAAACCTGTCAAATGATCAGCTGTGGGACTTGCAGTGCAATAAATGTACCATTGTTCCCCACTGGGTGTTGGGGCTGCAATAAGACAGCTCTGTGGTCCTTCCTCATTCTCTCATGCAGGAAGGAAAATTATGAAAGACTATGCCCGGGCTAGAGCTATTATTTTAACAAAGCAATGGAGAATCTTCGCTCTTTCACTCATTGGTTGTTTGATTGATTTTATTTTTTTGGTAACAGGGATCGAACTCAGGACCTTGCCCTTGTGAGGTAGGTGGCTGTACCACTGAGCTAAATCTCTGGCCCTTGATTGATTTATTTATTGTTTTTTTGAGACAGGGTTTCATTATGTAGTTCAGGCTGGCCTCAAACTCAGAGTGATCCTCCTGCCTCAGCCTCCTGAGTGCTGGGATTACAGGTGTGTGCCACCATACCCAGCTTCTTTTCTAAATCAACAGTGGACTTTTTCTCCAAACACACTCCAAAAAACAAACAAACAACCTGTTTTGCTTGGTTCTGATCACAGAGTAGAGATAAGGTCCTAACCTGGAAAATGGCTCCATCCAGCTGGTGACCGGAGGACCAGTCTTCCTGCAGGGGTGCCCCCCTGGTGAGGTGCCACCCTCCCAGACCTCAATGTCTCAAGCAGACTTGTATACACAGCACAGACACATGCCACCCTCCTCGGCCACAGGCACATGCTGATACCAACAGGAGCACACCCCGGCACCGCGACAGCTCCACTGCTCTCGCATAAACACTGCCCATCTTGACCCAGGCAGCCCATGCCACTGCTCCCAATGGCCTCCCAAACCATTTGGGGCCCATTCCTCTGAGCACTGCAAGATTTTGGGGCTCCTTCATGAAGACGGCATTTCTGAGTGGTCATGCCCCTTGGTCTCCCTGACTCTGTGACCGAGACAGGGCATAGCAACTCCCATGCCCTGGGCTGTGCTGGTGGCTCTGGGCTCCTTGGAGACAGATGTCTGGGGGCAGATTCTGCCAGCCCACTGTGAAGTCTGGTTCTCTCTCCGCTACAACTCCCCAACACCCTGAGCTGTGAGTCCTGCCTCAGGTCTGCCCAGCAGCTTCCCTGGCCACCACCTGCTTACCAACTGGTAGAAGGTGACTTGTGGTCCTTCGGCATCATACAGGAACCACCAGGTGGCAGCAGCCACTGTGCCCAGGCCCACGTACACTGCAGGGTGGGGAGAGGAGACTGGCTGAGGGGGACAGTCACGGTTTTCTGGCATCACTTTCCCTTCCTAATAGTTCCCTGATTTCTATCAGGGAACCACCCTCTCCCTCTCTAAGCTAAGTACTTTAAAAATACTTACTCTCAAGTGTCAATGTGGGCCCTGACTGGCAATCAGCATCTGCCACACCCTTGGCCATTGTTGTGATTGGCTAGGAGATAAGTGACCCAATTTGGGCCAATGATAACAAGCTTGAGATTTTTACCAAAAAAGGATCTCTGCTGTTGAATTGGGGGTTGTAATGGAGTAAGCATGAGGGCTGGAGGTGCAGCAGCCATTTTGCCACCCTGAGGGACACCTACTTGAGAATAGAGTTGAGGCAAAACCAAAAACTATGACCGTGATACTGTCTGAGGTTTAGATCCATACCTGAGACATGTTTTCTAGTCTTTCCAGTTACATAAACCCTCAGAGTTTCTTTTGGCATAAGCTATCTGCACTGTGTGCTGTTTGCAAGCCTAACTGGTAAAGGCTCTCAGGAAGCTTAGGGAGCCCATAGCGCAGCCCCCCCATCAAGGGCTGGGGCCCTACTCACCTCCAATAGCCAGATATCGGAAAAAGAGCCAGCCACTGATGAGGGCTTCATGAGGGTTCCGGGGCAGCTTCTCCATGATGTCCAGGTCTGGAGGATTGAAGCCAAGGGCTGTGGCAGGCAAGCCATCTGTCACCAGGTTCACCCAGAGCAGCTGCACGGGGATCAGGGCTTCAGGCAGGCCCAGAATTGCCGTGAGGAAGATGCTAAAACCAGAGTCATGGGCTCTAGCTCCCAGCAGGCCCACGCCCCACCAAACCGAGGGTCCAGCTCCTGCTGATAACCCAGGATGGGGCCACCCACCTCTCTGCTGGGTATGATGTGCACAGGAGAATGGGGTGTTCGAACACAGCTCTGCGTCCCCCAGCCCCAGCTCTGGACTGTGACATAGCTGCCCTTTAGGCCTCGAAGTGGACACACAAACAATGAACAGCCAAGTATCAAACACAGGCAAAAACCCAACGCCTGGCACACAGTCGCACAAACATAAGCAAACACGTCCTGGCTCTCCCAGTGTGTAGAGGCGCAGGGTCCACATATGTCTAGCACACGCATGGTCACCGCTCCCCACCGCATTGCTCTCGGGGAGCAGCGGTGTGTACACAACTGCACTGTGGCACGCAACCTGTTTCTGTCTGTGCCCAGAGATGCCTGTGAGCATACATAAACACACCTCTCAATCAAGCATGAGTACCATGTCACATACCCGCATATTCCCGCACCCACACACACACACACAAACACACCACTGCCCAAAGGTGGGGCTGACTGTCCGCATCTGGAGTCTGAGAGAGGGCACACAGTTATGGCTGGAGGGAGGCACCTCCTTAGGGATGAGGGTACACTATGACCTAGGATCCATGGGTTATCAGTGCCTCTGGACAATATTGTGGTGTCCCTGCTCCTGCCTACCCTGAGGTGGACCTGGAAGGCCTTAGCTGGAGCAGGCATGTGTCCCTCAGTCCCTGCACCCAGTCTCAGGGACACAGAGATGGTGCAAAGGGCTGAGGGGAGGGAGTGCAGGGCCTCACCAGACCACCTCGCCGACATTCGAGGAGATGAGGTAACGGATGAACTGCTTCATGTTGCTGTAGATGGCCCGGCCCTCTTCCACCGCAGCAACGATGGAGGCAAAGTTGTCATCTGACAGTACCATCTCTGCTGCTGACTTGGCCACAGCTGTGCCAGAGCCCATGGCAATGCCAATCTCTGCTTTCTTCAGAGCTGGTGCATCGTTCACCCCATCACCAGTCTGTGGGCCAGGTCAGGTAGGTAGGGTCACACCTTGAGAAACTTCCCTCTCCCAGCGCCCCTCCACTCAGCCCATCCCAGTGTCGGGGAATGTCCCCAAAGGAAGCAGACAGATGGACAGAACAAATGACGGGGTCAAGAAAGACCTTGGGAGATGGGCTAAGGCTGAGGCTAATGGGTGCAGACTAAGACAAAGTCAGGGAGGAGATAAAGTCTAAGGTCAGAGAAGATGATGAGGTGGAGAAACAAATGAAGGTGGGTCAGTGATGAAGGAGGGATGAAATCCAAGTTGGATATGGAATAGAAGATGAAACTGAGGTCAGGGAGAAAGCTGAGGTCAAAGCTACAGCCCATGTCAAGGGCCAGGTAGGTGTAAGGGTCAAAGTGAAGAGCAGGGTCAGACTAGACTCAGGTTCAAGACTTAAAAAGTAGACTAATGTAGAGGTCATGCCACAGTAAGAGGCCAAGTCAAGGCTACTGTTCACAGCAGAAGCGATATCATAGTCAAGGTGGAGTTGAAGTCAAAGTCAAGATTGGATCAAAGTTGAGATCAACATAAAGTATTGCACAGCAGGGGCCAAGGTCAATGTCAGAGATCAGCTCTGGGTCCAGGTTAAGACTGGAAGCCATTTCAGGATTGAACTCAAAGTAAGGAATTAAATTAAGATGGAGGTCAGCGGGCTAAGATGTAACAAGGTCAAGGTCAGGGGCAAAGTCAGCAGAGATCAAAGACAAGGTCTAACTCAGGTGACAGCTTTAATCAAGTCAACCACCTCCCTAGGCTCTAGTCTTGCAGCCTCACCATGGCGGTGATCTCGCTGAAGGACTGCAGGTACTCCACGATTCGGGACTTGTGTGCGGGCTCCACACGGGCGAAGCAGCGGGCAGTGCAGCAGGCATGGCGCTGCTGTTCAGGGCTAAGGTCATCGAATTCTCGGCCCGTGTAGGCCTTGCCCACCACATCCTCGGAGTCCTCGAAGATGCCCAGCCGGCGGCAGATGGCCACAGCTGTGCCTTTGTTGTCCCCTGTGATCATGACCACACGAATGCCTGCCCGGTGGCAGCGTGTGATGCAGGCAGCCACCTCAGGCCGGGGTGGGTCCAGCATTCCCACACAGCCCACGAAGGTCAGGTTTGTCTATAAGGAGGGGCAGACACAAACAGGGCCTGAGTCGAGTCTTGACCTGCCATGCACCCAGCCACTCCAGAGTCCCACAGCTCCCAGCACCCACCTCGTACTGTGCAAACTTGCTGGAGTCATCCAGCTGCATGTCCTCCTTCCTGGGCGGCGCATCCTGGGTGGCCAGTGCTAGGCAGCGCAGCGTGTCTGAGCCCGAGCCCCAGTCTCGGATCTTTGCCAGGATCTGCTCCCTGGAGGCAGTGTTCAGGGGTGCTGTGCGGCTCCCGACACGGACTGAGCTGCAGCGCTCCAGCACACTCTCAGGAGCCCCCTGCAGGGGGAGTAGGGTGTCAGCCAGGATGCCACACGTCCCTCCTACCCAGCTGAGGAAACAGACCTAGATAAGGGGAAAGGCACCAGGCACAGACCAGAACCCATTCTTGGAAAGCTCAGAGTGGGAACCAGCTGAGGAAACCTAAAAGGAACAGCAAGGTGAGGTCACAGCCACCCACTGGGTGGTCCCTACCTCCACCAGCCCACCTGCTGCAGCACTTAGAGGTGGGCTGGGAACAGCAGCCCCTGTGCCCCTGCCTGCCTGGTGCCACTGGGACTCGAATTCTGTAGGGGCCTCAACAGTAGGGAGGCAGGCTGAACCCTGCCGTGGGACCACAAATAGAGCCAGGCAAAGGGTGCAGTGAGTGTGGCCCTGGGAAGGTCATGGGGGGGAGGGGGCAGGCTCCTCAGCAGCCTCAGGGTCTCAGCTTGGACCTTGCCCCAGGCCTAGGTATTTTAAATCCTTCACCAATGGCTTCTCTCTCCTCAAAAGTCACCCCAGATGCTAACTTTTCAAAGTGACTGAGTTCCCCGCATGGAAGACTTTTCACTTCACCAGGGGTGAATCCTACTTCAAGGTTGAAAGCAGTGGGAGGTGCTGTGGAGAGATGGAGGACTGGATGGGGGCTTGTTCCCTTCTCTCCCCAGGACTCAGTTTCCCAAAAGATGAAGCCTGGAGGGTGGGCATCAACTATTTCAACACCATGAGTCAGAGGCAAAAAGGGCTTTTGAGAACTTGCTGTTCAATCCCGAATAGTGGGAAACCAAGGCCCACCAAGGCAGGTGACCCCAAGGTCATTCACCAAGGCAGTGACCCTGGGCCCAGAGCTAGCACCACAGTCAGGGGCAGACTCTGGTCCCTTGGCCCTCGTTCATCCCCACCATGCATCCATCCACCCATAGCTTGCTGACCATCCCACTTGGCACTCGGCACTTCAGCAATGGGCTGCTCATGTCCCTTAGTCCCCCACAGCTGCAGGCTCTGGTGTTGTGTTTCAGAGGACTGGAGACCAGATTCCCCTAAGACCCTGAGCGTCCCGGCCCACATAAACAGTCTCCACCTTCACAAACATCTTGCTGCCCTGGGTCTTGGGGTCAGGGCAGGTGGGCGTGCAGTACACCGACATGGACTTCCGGTCCCGGGAAAACTCGAGGGTGAACTCTTTCTTCATAAGCTGCTTGATTACCTGCAGAGGGACAGAGCCAGCAACTCTCACTTGCTTCTCACCAGCCACTTGGCCTCCAGAAGAACCTCTTGCTGTCTGTGGCCTGGCATCTGCACTCCTCTGACCCTGGCATTCAAGCCCCCCACCCCCCCAGCCCGCCAAGAAGCTGCCAGTTCCTGACCAGGTGTGCACTTCCTAAGTCCAGTTCCCCACACTCACCCTTTCCTCTCTTTACTCCACAGCCAGATCTTACCAGGAGTTTAAGGTCATTCTTCCTCCCCAAACTCTGCTTCCTCTCTCCCTTCTCCAGATGCCCCAGGAACCCCAGCCACTTAGCCCAAGGCCCAGCCCATCCAGCTCACCGCATTGCAGGCACCAGCTCGCTCCACCCGGGACAGGGTCTTTAGGTCCATGTCGAACACATTCATCTTCTCCACCAGGCAAGTCAGCGCCGTTTCCGTGGCCTCTCCCACCTTCTCATATACAGCCTTGGCCTGGCAGGACCCACGGGACACAGTGGTGAGGGGCAGGCTGCACTCGGCTGGGCTCTCCAGTCTCACTTCCCACTCCCTCTGCCCTTGGTGACCTCTTTACAAGATTTTGTGTAGTCTCCTTTACACAGGCCTGTGAGCCCTTCTCAGCCTGGCTATCCTGAGGCAGGGTGGTGTCTGACACTGACTGTCATTCTCCCAAATCCCAGCATCAATGGCTTCATGCCCTTCCTGCCCTCCCCCTCCCTCTCTGTCCATTCCTCAGCCTCCATCACCAGGTTCCCCTCGGTGGGGCTCTAACATGTTGCCTGGGCCCTGCTCCTTCTACTTTCGTCTCCCTGGGGGCCAGAAGCCTCCATCCCCAACCCCATTCACATGCTCAGGACTGCCAGTGCCCTGCCCAACTGGTACCTCTCTCCCGAGCTCCAAGCCCACATGGCCAATTGCTGCCTGTGGCTCTTGTTCCCTGCCGGTCCCTCAAGCCACCTCCTCCTTGCCCTGTGTTTGCAATTCTGAGGACAGCCCAGCCCAGCCAGGACAGCAACAGGGGCTGCCCTGACTTCTCTCCTCTTTGACCTAACCAATAACCAAGTCCTAGCTCCTAAATCTCTCTGATCTCTGCCTTCTCCCCTCTCCCTGAGGTCCCAGTCAGGACTCAGCAGCATCTTTCTGGCCTGAATGGCCATACAGGGCTCCCAAGCTCTTGTCTTGTCATTTCTGTGCTGTTTCCCACCCAGAATTCTTGGGAGGTGGGGGGCAGTGCCTTTTGTAAACACAAATGTGACCACATTCCTCCCTTACTCAAAACCCTTCAGTGACTCCCTACTGTACCCAGCTTGACATGGCCACTGATTTGGTCTGGCCAAGGACGCCCCAGGCAGGAGCATCCTCCTACATGCTCTGTTCCTGTTTCAGCCACACCAATGGTATTATGGTTTATACAGTGGACTCTTGACTTACAAACTCAATTATTTCCCGAGGGCTGGTTGTAACTCAGGTTGGTCAACTGAAGGCTCAGGCTCCTCTACACAGCCTTCAAAGTTTCTCTCCTGTATACAGGCAGATCTCAGTGTCCTTAGAGAGACTTTGGCCCAGGATCTCTCAATTAACCCCACACAGGGAAGGATGTTGTAATGTTCCTTCCAGGACTCTTTAAGGGTGAAATCTGTATCCAAGACCATCTGGAAGCAAAAGCGACCGGGATTCGGGTTGTAACTCAAGACTTTGTTCATAAGTTAAAACTAAAATTCTGGTCATAACCTAAGTGTCAGGTATAAAAGGCCACAACAAGCCTTTATTACAGGAACAGATCTGCCAGGCGGTCTCTGAACAAAGGAGAGACAAAAGCAATATGGCTGGGGCAAGGAGAGTCTTTATAGAGACTGGAGTGGGGTTTGTAGGAGCTGAGGTGGGGTTGAGTGAGGTAGTGACTAGGGAATGGAGGAGCCGGTGACATCACTAGTTGGTAGGAGGTGAGCAAGTTTTAGGTTACTCTCTAGGCGGGAACAGGGGCATGCTGGGAAGAAAGGTTTGTTCTTTGGGGTGAGCAACCATCTTGGAGTGACATCACACAGGGGAGGGGGCAAGGCACAATAGGAAGCTGGCATCTACTATACATAATAGCCACTGAAGTAGTGGGAGACCTATCACTAAGCTGTTCGCATATCAGGCTGGTTGTAACTCAAGGGTCCACTGTATCTGGATAGCCCCCCTCCCAAGCCTCATACCCTCACAGGTGGAGATTTTGGGAGTGACTGGATCGTGGGTGTGTGATACTGGATTAGTCCACTCATTGGTTTAGCATAGTTTTGGATGTGGCTGAATGGATTTACTGAAGACAGAAAACCCACCCTGGGTGGCCCAACCTATAGGCTTGTAGTCCAGATAGAACGAAAAGGAAAAACAGAAGGAAGGCAGCTGCTTCCTGACTACCCTGCTATGGGCTGTTTCTCCTCTGCTGTGCCCCTCTGCCATGCCACCCTTCCTTGGAGCCAGTCGACTGTGGACTGAAACCTCTACAAACTGTGAGCCAAAATAAATCTTTCCTCTTTTAATTTGTGTCAGGTATTTTGTCTTAGCAATGAAAAAGTACTTAAGACAGATGGTACACAATGCCTAAATCACATCTGGCTTCTACAGACTGGGCTTCGCCTTCTGCTTTAAAGCCCTCTCCGGCCTTCACACCCTCCTATACTTCCAAATCTCTTCCCCAGGCATCCCTGGCCCTGAAGGCCCTTATGCTGCAACTCCCCACAATCCAAGAGCCCCAAGGTAGAGTCTGAAGCCAGTATGGGCATGAGGGAGGGAAAGAGCAGGAATATACAGAGTTGACAGTGCTCCTCGGGTCCCAAGCAGCAAGGATAACCAATCCTGGAAGCTTGGAGACTGGGAAAAGGCTCTATCCTAAGCGCCTGGAAACTGGGCAGGTCATGAACGGGATTTGGGTCCCACCTCATTGTAGTCCAGAGCGGAGTCGTTGCACAGGGCACAGATCGTCGCCAGCTCCACCAGCCCATCGAACTGCCCGCAGCGCACGGGCTGCTCCCCCTGCTGCCTGCAGAGCCAGCCGGAGCTTCAGTACTCGTGCTTGGCCCCACCCCGGGAGATGCCCAGCCTTGCAACCACATGCACCCGCAAGCCGCGCCCACCATCACCCAGCACTTACACTTCACCCTCTGGAGTGTATGTGGTACCCGAGATGGTGAATTCGTGCAGTCGGCAGGAGGCCGCTTTTGCTTCAGCTACCACGAACATCTGGGGAGCATAGGGGCCTGCTCAGGTGGGCTGGGCCCTCCCTTCTCCTCAGGCTGCCAGTTTGAATAAAACCTGGTCCAGTACTGAGCAGGAACTGTGCTCTGTCCAGCTCTGGCTTGACCATTTGCTCAGACTCCTGGGGAGTTTATGGCCCATTCTCAGTGTCTGGAGCAGCTGCTGTCCTGAGGGAGCCCTGAGTAGGAAGCCTGGGTCCTTGCCGACCTCCCTGTGTGACCTCTGGTCAAGTGCCCGAGCCTCAGTTTCTCCACTGATAACAGGAGCAGAAAGTGGGCTCAGAGTCCAGCTGACCCTCCTTTCCTGGCCTTAAGGGAGAAAACCCATACTCTGCCCTGAGGCCCAGACCCTTCCAACCCAGGAATGACTCCAGAGTGGGCCCCTAGCTCAAACAGCCAAGTGGGTCACCCAGCCCCTATCTGTGGACTTCAGAGACAGGGCCTCTCCCCTCCTAGTGCCGCCCATTTCCCCGTCAGCCAGCTCTGATAGGCTTTGCCCTTTGGAAACTACCTTGCTGCACATTCTCAAGCCAGGGGCCAGCCCAGCACCCAGTAGCTGCTCACTCAATAATCTCACTTCCTTCCTGTTCTTCTCTACCCCAGGGACAGTCTTCCAGCAAGCATAGTGCATTACCCAGCATGTTCACCGGTACAACTCCCCGACACTGTGCTTTTCAAAATTCTTCCCCCGCTCCTGGAAATTGAATCCAAGGTCACCAAGCTACAATCCCAACTCTACTTATTTATTTTAAATTTTAAGACAGGTTTCTCACAAAGTTACCTAAGCTGGCCTGTGCCGCCAAGCCCATCTCAAATCTTTATTTCAGTCATGGAACACTGTTTAGATCAAATCCTACCAGGGACTCAGCAGGTCAGTAAAGCTTGCCAGTGTCCCTTTCCCTAAACAGATTTAGATGGGCTTCTATGGGACCTTAAGGCCTCGGAATACCAAGCCTGGATTCCCAAGGCCCAGTGGGCAGGGGTAGCAGAAAAATGATGGGAAACCCACAGCCTTTGCCATCTCCTGACCCAGCCCTGAGGAAGGTCAGGAGGAGCCCTCTGTCCCAGAATCCCTAGAACATGTGGATGGTGGGCCTGGGACGTGGGATGGAGGGCCAGGGAATGAATAATTCCTGCTCTATCTGGTGACAAGCACGGATTGCAGAGTCGGGAGGGAGAAAGATGGACCCTGGGTCCTGGTCCTGTTTGGCTCAGACACCAGGGCTGTCCACGACCTTCTCCTATGTCCTTTTCAGGTTCGCTGGCAGAGCCCCATACCCAGGATACAGACAAGAATGAGGTCCACAGACTGGCAGCCAGCTGCCCAGGACCCCACAGTGACATGTGTCTAGCCAGGCATTGTCTGCTACAGCCTGCCAGTCTGCTCTGCCACATGGAGACCTGGACCTGCTTCCCAGCGGGGAGATACTCAAGGTTACCTCCATCTCCACCAGAAAGGAGACAGGGAGGGGCCCAGGTGCCAAAGCAGGACCCCAAGCTGCTGTGGCCACTCACCCTGCAGACAGACATCTGGTTGGTGGTGAGCGTGCCTGTCTTGTCAGAGCAGATGACTGAGGTGCAGCCCAGGGTCTCCACAGAGGGCAGGCTCCGCACAATGGCATTCTTCCGTGCCATGCGCCTCGTACCCAGTGCCAGGCATGTAGTGATGACTGCTGGGAGGCCCTCGGGAATGGCTGCCACTGCCAGGGCCACTGCAATCTTAAAGTAGTAGACGGCACCTCGGAGCCAGGAGCCCCCATGGGCTGGGTCAGAGAAGTGGCCAATGTTGATGACCCACACGGCCACACAGATCACGGAGATGGCATGGGACAGCTGACGCCCAAACTCATCCAGCTTGCGCTGCAGTGGTGTCCGCTCAGGCTCCACGGCTGCCATCTGGCTCCGGATCTTGCCAAGCTCCGTGTGCAGACCGGTGGCCACTGCCACGCCCACTGCTTTGCCTGATGCAATATTGGTGCCCTGGCCAAAGGGAGGACAAAGAAAGGGCTGCTCAGGGCCAAAACCCCAATTCCATGAGGACTGAGACGGGCTCTTATCCTCCTACGTGGCTTTCTTTTCCTTCATGTCCCCAGCACTTCCAGAGTCACATAGCTCTGTACTTACTGGGTCAGTGCCATCATCCGGTGGTAGTGTCAGCTCATCACCATACTCCAGGGCCTAGCATCCATTCAGATGGGTGCACAGAGGAGGTGATAAGAAGGCAGGTGCTGTGGCAGCTCCCACCCCTCCTCTACCCTGAGCGATATAACTCTGGCCCTGTGTGCAGGCCCCTCAGCTAAGGCAATGATGGCAACAGCCACACCACCCCTGGCTTCCTGGTGACAGCTGTGACACAGGACAAGCCTCTTTGCAGCTCCTTCCCCATGCCCAGGCAGCCTGTCCTAGGTGTCCATGCCCTGGATGAGCTCTGCGTGAACATCTCATTCTCCACTTCTCTTCACCTCTGGGAGGCCTTCTAGTTCCCTGACATCCGGGTGCCCCAGGCCATGGTCCAACTGGCCTGACCCTTCCTTATGGCATCAAATGCTCCATGTTGGCTTCTGGCTGCTGCTGGGCATCTGTAAAACCTGCTAAGCTCCTCTGAGCCCACATGGGCAGGTCCCTCCCTCAGCTGCATCCCACTGCTCTCCCTGAGAAGAGCCGGGGGACTTGACCTTGACAGTTTTCCCACCTTGGAAACGAACCACTTCCATGGTCCCCCTCCCCACCTCCATGCACTCTCTTACCCCTGCCCCTCATCCCTAGGCAAGTGCTCTACCGTTGAGTGCCACCCCCTCCCCTCCACTTCTGCAACCCTGTGCCCTCTAGAGGATTTTCAGTTGGGTGACTGAGAGCAAGCTCTGCCCCTCTCCAGGTTAAGGCAGGGCATCCCAGCAAGAAAGGAAAAGCTCTGGAACCTGGACATCTGAGTTCACATCCCAGCTCTGCCACTTGTTGGCTATGTGACCTTGGGCAATTTACTTAACCTCTCTGAGCCTGTTTCCTTGCTGGAAAATACAGATTACAAGATACTGATAACTTTATTTCAAAGGTTTGTTGCGATAAACTCCTATGTGTGAAAGGCTTGAAACGGTGCCAGGCATACTAGGCCTCAGTAAACACAAGCTATTATTATTACAAATTTGCATGTATTGATGATAACTGATTAGGTTCTTTCCTGTGGGAGTTTTTTTTTTATATGAACATTGTTATTTTTATTATCACCATCCAGGGAAAGGCTTCAAGCATCCCAAGAACTTACAGAAAACAGCATGTTCTTCTTGTCCTGGTTCACAGCTCTGGGGTCCGGGATCACATCCCTGTGCTTGGTCACAGACACAGACTCACCTGGCCAGGGAATCAGATAGAAGTACCATTGAAGCCAGGCCCCACTCCTTGCCCTGTCCCCACCGGACCCCAGCCTCTGGGCCTCACCCGTCAGGATGGACTGGTCCACTCGTAACGTGGTGGACTTGATCTCGATGAGGCGGAGGTCGGCAGGCACTTTGTCTCCCACTGCTCAGGAAGAATACCTTGGCTGAGCCACTGGGCACTGCCCCCAGGAAAGCCAGCAGGGCTCCCAGGAACCAAGGCTGGGAGGCAGGGTCCTCAGCTCTGATCCCTCAGGTGGGACTCTGCCCTTCTGGCCAGTCTCTACATCTGTCCAACAGGACTGCAGGCAAACAGCACTGGAGAGATGGACAGCCACCCTCTCTGCACAGAGAGCTGGAATGATGGGGGCACAGCGGGGATGGGACTCCCTGGCATCAGGTAAGGAAAGGCGGAGCCGCCTTGCGCACCTGCCACTTCTACAATGTCCCCAGGGACGATGTCCCGGGCACGGATCCTCTGCACGCCCTTCCGGTCTGAGCGGATCACCTTGCCCATCTCAGGCTCATACTCCTTCAAGGCCTCAATGGCACTCTCAGCATTGCGTTCCTGCAGGACAGAGGCAGGCAGGCGGTCTGTCCCTGCTGTCCCCAGCAGGCCACCACTCAGAGTAACTTCCCTGGCAAGTGGGATGGAGCTTCCAGCAGAAGAATCTGCAGGCAGAGGTCATGACTAGTTCTGGAAGACCCCAGGGCCCAGCCCCAATCCCACGGCCTCTCACCTGCCACACGCCCACGATGGCATTGGCCACGAGGATCAGCATGATGACCAGGGGCTCCACGAAGGCTGTCGTGATCTCCTCACCCTCCTCGAACCAGGCCAGGACCTGCAGGGTCACAGCTGGTCAGCCAGGCTATGCTCCTTTTCCTCTGTACGCTGGATCTTCAGCCTGCCACCCTGCTTGGAGGGGACACCACTGGGGAGCCTGGGCTCGGAGAGGGTCAGTCCTCCGAGAAGGCCTTGGCAGAGGGTACCCAACCCACAAATGTCACCACCACAGGCCCCACCCCACCCAGGCCAACCCTCAAGGGCGTGAGACCAGCCAGAGACCTCACTGCCTGCCTAGAGCAGTGACTCTCAAAGTGTAGTCCTCAGACCAGCAGCCACAGTAGAACCTGGGAACTTATTAGAAACACAAAGCCTGGGGCCCATCCCAGACCGCCAGAGTCAGAAACCCTGGAGTGGGCCCAGGTATTTGTTTGATAAGCCCAGGGGGTTCGGATGCACACCCATGGGCAAGGGCCACTGTCCAGACCAGCGTCATTCCAGCCAGAGCACAGGCCCAGGAGCTGGAGGCCTAGGTCAAGGCCCATGTTCACTTCTTGGCCCGGGTGGGTATTTGTCACTCCCCTTCCGTGAGCATCAGTGTGTCCATCTGTGCTGTACAGGGGCACAAACACCCTTCCAGCTCTACCATTTTAGACATCTGAATAGACAGATTTTTTTTTTTAAAGACCTGGTTTCCTCAAGGACAGTGGCCAGGAGGGCGAGGCACAACTGTAGAGGAAGAGCTGGTCCCAGCCTGCTGCTCTACACACCAGGCATGAAGATGAGGTCTCCTCCCCAGGCACTGCTGGAGGTGGGGCCAGGAATGGGAGCCACACGCACCCTCAGGGGCCTCTCCAGCTCTGTTACCCTTGGATCCCCGATGCTCAGCCATCAAAGACAACCCATCTCCCTCACCTCTCTGCACTGTGGGCCATGGCCCCACAGGCCCAGGAGGGATCTTGACAGTAGGACTGGGGAAGAGCAGAGGGAAGAGCAGCCAAGGGGTGGGTGCAGGAGGTCAAAGCCCCAAAGTCTGAGAAGTACTGGAAGAGGGCAAGGCAGTGTCCTCAGCTGGGGGCAATTTTGGCCCCCTCCAATACCTGGCAATGGCTGAAGAAATATTTGATTGTTATGACTGGGAGGTCCTATGGGCATCTGTTGGGCAGAGACTGGACATGCTGCAAAACTTCCTACAATGCATAGGACAGCGTCCCACCCCACTCTCACCGAATGTCAGAGTGCAGAGCCCGAGAACTCAGGCTAAGACAGGGGGCAGAGTCACACCTGGGAATCTGAAAGCTCTGACAGCCAAGGTACGGATTGATGGGAGAGGGATCAGGCAAGGGAGCTGAAGTCTGAGCAGGACAAGGGGAATGGGGGACAGGGAGTAGATAAGGACAAAGCAGCCCTGGAGCCCCCAGCCTGGTCTCTACAGACTGCCCAGACCCCAGCTCTCCCTCCCAGGCTGCCCAGCAGGCAGGCCCTACTTACAAAGGAGACCAGGGCGGCCAGCAGCAGGATGCGCACCAGGAGGTCATCAAACTGCTCCAGCACCAGCTCCCACAGGGACTTCCCTAGGCACAGGGGAATGCATTCAGAGTTGGGGGCTCCAGGGACCTCCTGATTCCTCTCCTTGCAGTTCAGGGCACTCCTAGAGCCTCAGCAAGGGGAGGGGGGCCACAATCTGACCGTGAATGGCCCACAGCTGTCGTTCCCAGCCCAGCAGCCTGCCCCCACTGGCCTCACCTTCCTCAGTCGGGAGCTCTATAAGATCCGGACGCCACAGGAGCATGGGGAGACAAGAGAGCATGGGTTATGTCAGCGGGGCCTTGCAGGAGTCTGGCAGCCTCTTCCCAAAGTGCCCGCCCAGCCCACCATGATGCTCTAGACGTATCCATATCCAGGGCTGGGGCCACAGAAAAGATGACTTCACCCCACTCCATTCTAGTTAAGTGAGGTCTAGGATGGCTCGGTTCACCTTAGGATGAAACCAGAGCCGGAGGGAGACCTTTCAGTTCCCTTTACAGCCATTTCAGGGATGGGAAACTGAGGCCTGGAGAGAGAAGGGACCCCTGAAGGTCATGCAGAGTTGGCAGCTCTCATGGCCCCCACACTCTGCTCTTCCTCAGATGGAAGAGGCACCCACAGCAAGGGAGGTGCCTTCTTACCATAATAAATCTTGCAAAGGTCCCCTTTGCCCGTTGGGCCTCTGACCACCTACCTGCCCCTCTGGGACCACCTAGACAAGGCCAGCTGAGCCATAAGTCCCACTCTCCCAGAGCCCCCAACAGCCAGCATTCCAGACAGTGAGGACCCTTCCACAGCCCAGGCCTTTCAGAGGCCCTCTACTCCACGCACACTGAGGGAAGGCCCTCATCCCCTCTCTGCATGCTCAGTCCCACACATTTTGTAGAATACTGTTTCTAAACACTAGCAGCACCTGCCTCACCTTACCTGCCAATTTGGGGGGGGGGGTTGGGTTTTTGAGTCAAGGTCTCTCACTATGTAATTCAGGCTGGCCTTGAACTCACAGCAATCCTCCTGCCTCAGCCTCCCAGGAACTGTGATTATAGATGTGCACCATCACATCCAGCTCATTTTTTAAAAAAATCTCTTAACATTTTCCAAAGCACCTTTTGTACCAGACAGAGCTAGCTGCCTCAGTTACCTGAAATCCGTAAATCTTCCCAGTAGCCTAATGGGGAGGCAGGGCAAGATTCAAAACTGATTTCATACAGGTGAGAACTGAGGATGAGAGGGGACAAGCAGCTGGAGCGAGGTCACACAGCAAGTGTGTCTGAGTGGGGCTGCACAGGGGCCAAAAGGTAGGCCCAGAGGATAGGCTCTGATAGGTTCCCCCTCCCAGGCTGGGGCCCCTACCTGGCCACCTGCAGTTTTAACTTCCTTCTACCTCCTTTTGCTCTTTGCTACTCAAAGGCTGGCAGCATCTGCAGCACTCAGGAGCTCGTTAGCTCCACATTCTGACCCCCCCCCCCCAATGGGAGCCACTTCCTCTGTCTGCTTCCTGACACATGGAACAGGCCCTCACCTCTACACCTGTTCTTGATGCGCACCATTTGTTCCCAGACCACGTGTTTGGAAGGGCTGGGGTCTGCACCTGGCACCTGAACCATGGACATCAAGCAGCCCACTGGACCACGGGTATCCAGGAGGAAAACATGTAACCTAAAAATAATTTTCTAGCATTTTCTCTAAAGTACTATTTTAGGCAACGGCTGACATTTTCCGTGGAAAATGTAATCTCCAGTGTCCTGCACTGAGATTAAAATCAAACAGACTTTTCCCTTCTGATCTATTTAACTGAAGTGAACAGGAAAGGCAGAGGGGGCGGGCAGCCTGCTTTCTAGGCCAGTTCTCCAATGGAGCAGGGTCCTTTAGAGGTCACCTTGGCCATCCCCCTGCCTCGACAGAAAGTGCCAACCTCGTGGCACACACTGGTTAGCTTCTGCCATGTTCTCCCCAGAAGACTCCCCAAACCCTCACTTAGGGCTCCTGACCAAGGGTAGAGTTTATCCATCAGTCCCACCAGAATCTCTTCCCCTGTTTCCAATCCCCCTCTCTGGGGCGTGAAGCCCCTGGGCTGCTATGTTCCTTAGCGCGTTTATTCTGGCCAGGGCAAGGGCTTAGGACGCACATCACAGGCACAGAACTCTCACCTCTCACCCCCAAGACGCCTTCCTCCTGCCTCAGGTGGCCTCTCAAGTCCTCTCCTTCACCTGCTCTTCCCTCCTGCTCCCTGACCCTTGTGGACCCAGAACCCACTCTTCGGAGATCTTCATGTGGTTCCCCAAAGGTTTCTGGCTCTCCCCATCTGTGGCCACATAGAAAATCTGTACTTCTGGGTCCCCTGTGAGTTTCCAAAACGAGAATATGTGTTAGTTCCCAGCTGGAGCACTGAATGTTTGGTGTGAGACTCTCTAGGTCACTGTCTAGCAGAACATTCCGTGCTGACGGAAGGGTTTTCTGTCTGTGCAGCCGACTTCCTTTGCCACTGGCCATGCTCAGCTATTGAGCACTTTGCTCATTTAAATTGCCACAAGAAGCTGTTGCTGGCCACAGCGGTCAGCACAGGTCTGGGCTCCCTGACCCTCTGCTGCAGCAACAGTGACCTGTGAGGTGGGGTCTGTCCTGCCATCTTGAGTCACAGGGGAAGGAAGGCACAGAGCCCCAGATAACCAACCTGCCATTGCTACCCAGCAAGAGACAAATGAATCTCTTCTCTTAAGCCACTGAGGGGTTTTGCTGTTTGGATTTTTTTATTTTTGAGACACACTCTCACTAAGAGGTATGATTTTAAAATATGGTAAATATTTAAATTTTTAAAAATTGATTACTGTAAAAGACACATTGCTATTAATCCTCCTCAAACAATTGCCCCTCACTTCAAACACACTTACCCCATCGTTCTTGCTACTTTCCAAAGCAGTTCTGGAAGACCAGCATGTGCCACCTACCCCTGCTATTTTTCCCTGGGCCTCTCACATGGTGCTCTCTCCTGGTCCACCCCTGCTAGGTGAGTGGGCCAGTGTGGGACTGGCCAGGAGGAGCCTGGCAGTTAACCCGCAGACCCTGACACCTAGCTAACCATCGAGCCTTTGGGGTTGTTACTACAATGACCTATTTCCTCCCAGACCTGGCTTTTACTACTAGGCTCTCCTTCCAGCCTACCTGCAGAGGCTCAGCCAGCCACGTAGTCATGGCAGAGGCCCTGCCCGTCCCTGCACACAGAACAGGCGTGGTCCTAGTCCTGCTGGAGCCGCTGACTCCCTGTGGTATCCCAAGGCTCCTGGGAAAGGTGGGAAACTGCACCCACCTTGATGTGCTGCTGTGACCATCATTATCAGGAGCCACATTCACTGAGCACCTAGGAACCACGTGTGTACCAGGGGCCTTAGGTACTTTATGACCAAAGCATAAACTGGAAGCAGCAGGTATGACACTGTGGCAACCAGCTCTGACTGTGTGCCAGAACCCTGCTAACTCCTTGGGCCCATTACTCTCAAGATTCTCAAGCAACCTTAGACGAAGGATGCTGTTTTATTCCCACTTTAGAGTAGACAACTAAAGCACAAAGAGGCCGAGCGACTATTCAGTCAGACAGCCAGGATGTGAAGAAGGGCTCTGAGCCCAGGCAGTCTGGCTCTCTGATCCCTGCTCCGGGCTCCCTGTGCTAACTCTCTGCTTTCTATCCCTGGTCCCTTTACTTCCCAACCAAGTTCCCCTGAAAAAACTTTGTGTCCCATGCCCCAACTGTAGGGCTGATGCCTTCATCCCATCAAATGGTCCACTCCTCTGTAGTGGCCCCAGAGCCAGCAGCCAAAATCACCCTGTCCAAATGGATCTACTGCCCTCACAGGTGCTAAGGAGTGGGGTACAAGGCCCTGCCTGGTCAGGCCCAGACTGCTTCAAATGTTGATTCTACCAAGACCCCAAGGGACCCAATTTGCCTTGCACATGAATACATCCCAGAGCCACAGGACCCCCGCCCCCTCCCCGGGCTGGGAAAGCACCTGTCGTGTTCTCCACCTCAAGCGTCCACGGTAGATGGCAGTTCCCCCTTTGCTGTCCCCAGTTGCATGTCTAGGGCTGAGCAGTCCCCTTGAAATGGTGGCTCTGGAACTGCAGCAGTGCCAGAGGCCCCACTTGCTACATGGGGGGGATGCCGAGTTGTGCCCACCTCAGTGCTGTCCCTCTCAGCTGGGCCGCAGGGAACAAAGGCAGTATCGGGGCACTGTTCCTCCCAGGTCCCCAACTGGGTGGCCCAGCTACCCCTGCTATTTTTGCCTGGGCCTCTCACATGGTGCTCTCTCCTGGTCCAACCCTGCTAGGTGAGTGGGCCAGTGTGGGACTGGCCAGGAGGAGCCTGGGAGTTAACCCGCAGACCCTGAGGGGCCAATTGGTGGTGGTCAGAGAAACGTTGGGGCAAGGAATCTGGTCTTGAGGGCTTCAGTCAAATCTTGTTCTCTCAGTCTCTTGTATCATGACCACAAGCCAGCTACGCCAGCCCCTGGGTGTGTTTCCCCATCTGCACTAAGAGGGTAATAATTACCTCCCACGAGGGAGCTGTGACTGCTGAGTGCCACGCACAAGCTCTTAGAAGTAACGTCATACGTTAGCATAGTAACAGGTATGCGACCATAAGCTCCATGGCAGTGCAGCTATGCTCAGTGGATGTCTCCAGCAGCTGGCATGGTGCCTAGCACACAGTAGGCGCTTAGTAAAATTTCGGGCACATGAATGACTTCAGTGGCTGTCCTCAGCCTACAGAATAACAACCACCTTAGCATGGCGGCCATCAAGGCCTTCCTAGATCTGCCCCAACAAGCCCCTCAGAATCACATCCACATCTTAGACACAGGTCCCCCTGCCTGCCACGAAAGATCCCTCAGGACTGCCATCACCTCCCTGTGCAGCTAAAGCTTTTTCCCTGACAATATTTTGCTTGTGTCATTCCTTCTGTGCAGAGAACCTTTCCCTATCTCCTCATCTATGCCCCACCCTTTCAGGAAGAGTTCCTGGTCACCTTGCTCTCCTCTGAGCAGTCAGCCACCAGTACTGGGGCCTCCCAGATCCTGGACAGGAGCGTCTCCAGGCAGGGAGGGGCTAGGTCATCCCTGGACCCACAGTGTGCCCTCCCAGCCATTGTTTACGCAGCCCTGGGCCCTCAGCCTGTAGCCAAAGAGGTGCAGGCTGGACCACACCAGGGTGCCCCCAGGCTCCTATACCACCTGCTCCTAATCCCCCTGGACTCCTTCCTTCTCACAACACTGGAAACTGGAATTTCGGCTTCTAAATGTCAGTCCCAGCCAGAGAGGCAGCACTCACCAAGGTCTTCCTCCAAGGTAAATTTACAGAGCAATTAAATCATCATTTGCGGAGCCAGGGAGAGGCCCTGGCTGGGCAGAGCCTGCCCAGCCTACCTGGCCCTGCCCTTGTCTAGGTGGACAAGCTGGCCCTGCTCCACTGAGGACCACTGAGGGGCCTTGGGACGTGGCTCCCCCTCTGCAGAATGACCCACCAGCCTACCCGGCTTTGCTGGTACATCAGATGAGGGGTTTGCTCAGCAACTGTGTGTCTTCTTCCTACACCACAGGGGAGACCCGGCCCTGCCTGGGGGTGAGGGCGTCAAGCTGAGTCCATACCAGTCCGTTTCAGATCCCTCGAGGCCGATAGGGGATCTCAGGGCCCATTTCTGATTCACTGAGGACACTGAGGCCAAGGAGGGGCAAGTTAGCCTGAGGCCACCCAGCGAGTGATGCCACTCCAGTTGCCTTTCCTTCCATTCACCTCCCTCCTCTTGGCCTGGTTTCTGGGTGTCACACACACGGGTTTCCCATGCTCAGTGCTAACGGGGGCTGTGCTGAAGGCAGGAAAGAAGGCCATAGCCAAGCCATGGAAGTACAAATCCAGGCTACCTGTCCCACCCTGGAGTGCCCTGAAGCCAATTGTACCTTGTCCAGCAAAGGAAATGAGTGGCTCGTTCACGGACACATTGGAAATCAGCTGGCTCCTAAACATATGAAAAGATGCCTAACCTGACCTGAAAACAGAAAGATGCAAAGTAAATCTACCAGAGGATACTTTTCTATTAGAGTGACACCGATCAGAATGCAACCTTCCCACTGTTGGCCAGGCAGCACGAAACAGTCCAGTTGGTTCATGCCACCAGAATTTAGCAAGCACTGTTCAGACTGCAGACACACTCCCCTTGGACTCAGCAGCGGCACTGCTAGAGATGTATCCTTTGGTGCTACTCCCAGGTGTGTGACAAGATGTGGGGACAAGGATAACCCTGGAATGCTGTGTGCTAACAGCAGAGGTTGTGAACAACCCACACGGCCATCTGAAGTGGGAAGAAACATTGGACCGGGCCCACAGTGAAACCCTGTAGCCATTAGGAATTTCTGCCCAAGGCTGTTCCTCACGGACCTGGCTCCAGGAACGGAGGTCTGGTTGACAGGGGGGCAAAACACTGCCTTTCATGCAAGAAAGGAGCCTAAGGCTTGGGCTGTAGCTCAGTTACAGAGCACTTGCCTGGCATGCCAGGTGTGGCCCGATGGTGATGTGTGCACACAGGGGACTCCTGGCTGGCATCCCCACTGGCTGCCCTGCTGAGGCTCCCACCCTCACTTTAGAGGCTTCTGTCTCTGGGAGGGAGGAGGAAGACAGGCAGGATCTAGGTGAGATCCTGGCCCACCCCGTCCATTCCTCCTCACCTCAGGCAGAATTTGCAAATTTAGGACTTAAGCAAATGACTTCCTTGTGGTTTTAGCACTAACGACCTTGCAGGTGCAGAGAGCAGGGTGGGGGAACACTAGTCCCTGGGGTGTTCCCTCCACCCACAGACCCTGCCCACTCTACCACCCAGCTTCTGGCCCTGAGCCTGGCCAGCCCCGCCTCCTCTGCTACCAGGACCTAGACTTGATGTAAGTGATCACGCTAAACATGCACAAACAACCCTAAGTGATGGGTTCTATTGTAGCCTCACTTACAAGGAGGAAACCAAGGTTTGTCCGGGATTGGACAGCTACGAAGGGCCAGGGCCAGGGTACAGAACCCAGTGAGCCCCACCCCAGAGGCTGGGCTGGTAGAGACCAGAGGATACGACACTGGGGCCTCCTCCACTGGCCAGGAGTGCAAGGCAGAAGGGAGGGAGGTGACCGGAAAGAGCAGTTGGCTTCTCTCTGCTCACCTGACAACTTCCAGAGCCCCAGGACAGGACACTTCCTGAGAAAGAAGCCGAACAGTGATGTGAGGAAAGAGTCCTCTGGGGCCCTGTGGGGACTGAGGACAAAGCTGGAATAGCTGCTGTCCAACTGGCCCTAACATCTAGCAAAGGCCTCAACACAGGTGGACATGATGGGGAAACTAAGGGCCAGGGAGAGGTAGGCAGCTGGTACAGACTCCACCACTTACTGGGTGACCTTGCTAAGCTATTTAACTTTTGGTGCCTCAGTTTTTCCCCTATAAAGTGGGGATAACAATAGTCCACACCTTATAGAGTTGTTTGGGAAAAAACATGAGATAATAGTTGAAAAACACTAAGAACAGTGCCTGACAGATATTAGGTGCTCAATGAACACAAGTTCCCATTGTTAATATTATCAAAGCAGAGAGGAACCAGGGGGTCCCAGCAATGCCCCCCTCCTGCTTCTCCTACCATATCCACACACATCTTCCTGCTGGTGGACCTACACACCACACCAAGCCAACATCTTTCCCATCACCCCCCACTGATGTTCAGGGCAAGTCATCCCAAAACCCCCTCACCCAGATAAAACTTCATGAGGAGAGAAGACCGGGGGCTTCCCCTCTCCTTGTCAGCTCCTCCTCTGCTGGACAGATGAAGACCGGAGAGCCAGAAAGGACAGGGGCTTTGGCCAGGCTCACGCAGGGGTAGAATCTGTGATTCTAGGGGCAGCACCACGGACTGGGTTTCCAGCTTCCCGCTGGAGGCCCCTGCAGCACCAAAGAGGCTGTGGGACCCCAGGCCTGCCACCTGACCCCCACCCAACCCCACCCCCCGGGGCCAGGCCCTGGTCTCCTCCAGTAAAGGACACCCTCCCTGCCAAGTCATTAATGGGCGATATTAAATAATATTTATCTCCCCAGTTCCTCCCACAACTCAACTAAATATAGTAACTAATTTTTTTGAAGGATTTCTGCTCCAGAAAGATAATATTTATATAAGAGGTGGTTTTCATAAACCAATACAAAACCTAAAGTGCCCTTTCTGACAGAAACTCATAATTTCCAAGCCAGTCCTGAGCAGAGGGACACCCAGGCCACAGCCCCTTCCCCTCTGCCTGGCTGGGAACCCCCAGAGGGGAAGGCCTCCTAGTCCCAAAAGGACACTGGCCCAGACTGAACTCTGGGGACAGAGAGGACATTTCTCTCTGAACCTCTCACACTTTGACAGGTGCTAGGGGGTGAGGAAGGGGAGGGGTAGCAGATCCTGCCTGGAAAGGACATGGGCAAAGGTCCTCTACACCTTTCACTCTCAGGACCTTCCAAGTGTGCTGGGGCCACATCTAACGGGCGCTTTGGTAGAAAGAGGAATCCCACACTTCTTTGAAGGAGATGAGGAAGAAATGATACCCCTCCCACGCAAACTACAAGAGCTGAAAGTTTCCCTCCGTGCCCACAGATGGGCAGGGGCCATTTCAGGTCATCCGGTCAGGGAACAACTCCTGAGGCCACCCATCTGCTACCTCAGGAAGGTGGGTGTCAGGCCTCAGCAGTTCAAAGCCCCCACCAACTGCCAGCGACATCCGCTTGGGTTGAAGAAAGAGGAAGACCTGAGGTGGGGGCGGGGTGGGGGCACCCAGGCCGCCAGCTGACTTGCTGCACCTTCACGGGCGTTTTATTGCGCCCTGGAGGGAGGACTGTGTCTCCCCGGGTCCAGCTGTGAGGCTGAGCCTCCGAGTCCCCGAGTCCCCGGCCGGTCACTGTCCAGCAGCCCCCAGCATCTGCACCTGCACGATGCGTGCGGGTTGCAGCGCGGCACGGGGGTCAAGTGCAGACGCACAAGGCGTGGGCTGAGGCTCGCAGGAGTGGATGGGGACCCGCGTGGAGGGGGAAGCCGGAGAGGTCCAAGCAACGGGCCCCGGGACCGAGGGCGGGGGTGGGTGGGTGAGACGTCCGGTCTCTCCCAAGGCAGAGCCCGCCCCAACCCCGGAAAGGTGGCGGTGCAGCTCTGCCGGGTGCCCCGAGAGCATCTGCGGAGGCTTCCGGAGCCCTCGCTTCCTGCCCGCCCAAGGGGGCGAGGGCTGGGAGGAGAGGACCGCTGGCAGGCCGGGGCAGGGGACCGACCCTGCGGCCCCGCTGCTCGGCCGGGCCCGCGCTCACCGTTGGGGCCGTAGCGCTCCCGCGCGCTGGTCACCTGCTCCGGACTGAGGCCGCCCTCGGCTGTCACCGAGAAGCGGCGCAACACGTCGGCGACCGGGAGCAGGTACGCCTCCTCCATGCTGCTCGCCTGACTGTTCGCGCCGTCAGGCCGCCTCTGCGCGGGGCTACAGCGCGGGGCGCCGGAGGCTTGGTCCCGGGCGGGCGCCGCGCGAGGCCATGTCCGCGCTGGGACCTCCACCGACGGCAGTGGCGGCGGCGCCCGAGGCCCGCGCCAGGATGCTGCGCCCTGGGCTCCCTCCCCCGGCGGGGCGGCGCGGGCCCGCCCCCGCACTCACACCCCTTCCGGCCGCCCTCCGAGCCGCAGCGCCCCGCCCCGGCGCACCCAGGGGCGCCCAGCCTGCTGGCCGCCCATTCTACGGAAGGGGGCACTGAGGCAGTGGGTGGGCAGTGCGCCGAGCCGGGGAAGCCGGGGCAGGGCGGGGTCGGCCTCTATGCGCAGAGCTGGGGGGCTGCCTAGAGCGAATCTGGGAGCTGCCACTTTCGCCTCCTCTCGGTTCTCCTGGGGCGTGGGGTAGGGCTGCAAAACCGAGCTGTCCATAGAGGGGCGTCCTAGTTCCCAACTCCACTTCTGCGCAATGTGACCCAGGATCTGGAGGGACCGAGAGCCTACGGATAAGCAGGTCTCCTCCGGAGGCAGCCACCTGATGCTTTGCTCGTGCCAGCTTTGCGCTGTCTTTATTCTTTCCCAATTGCCCAGCGATGCGCCGCAGTTGTTCCTCAGACAGTTGGAACCGCTAGCGATGAGCCGGTAGACAGAAGGTAAAGGACACCAGGCTTCTTACTTGGGACTCCACCTCCACGCGCTGTGGCAGGAAATGTGGCCGCCGGTGGGGGCGGGGCTCCCTAGAGACTCCTGAGGAGGTGGGTGTCGGCTTCTGCCGAGGGTCCCCAGGAGGAGTGGCCCGGGCCATGGGAAGACAGGGGAACCCTTCAGCCCTTCCTCATGGTGCAGGTCGTAAGAGAAAGCTATGGGAGGGCAGAAACCATTCCCCCCACCAAAAGGGGGAGCAAGAAGGGACATTCTGATCACACCTCCAGCTGGAGGGACCCAGCCAGTCTCATTCCCACCACCACCGGAGCTGCCTTAGCCTTCAGCCTCTGGGATGACCAAGGCTGCTGGGGACCATGGATTGCCCAGTAACTGAAACTGCACCCCTCAGGTCCCCCTTCGAGTCTCAGCTTCCAACCCTCCTCTGTGCACCCCAGCTTGACTTCTTCCTCTGAGGTCTGGGTTGGCCTCTCCCTCCTCTGTGTCTTTTCTCCATCTCCAGAGCCCAGAGACACTCAGTGAGGACTTGCTGGTCCCCTGCCCCCACCTCCTTTTTTGAGGGGTGGGGAGGGTATTGGGGATTGAATCTAGGACCTTCCCAGACCTACATCTCCAGTCTTATTTATTTGTTTTATTTTTATTTTTATTTTTATTTTTAAAGGAAGGGTCTCTATAACTCACCAAATTGCCCAGGCTGGGCTTGAACTCTCCCGCCTCCTGACTCAGCCTCCTGAGGAGCTGAGATTATGTGCACCACCACACCTGGCCCAAACTAACATTTTAAATCTCAAATCTAATATCTCCAGGTATCTCCATCCTGTGGCTTCCCTCCCACCACTACAGTTGGCAAAGATAGTCCCCACCATATCCCTAAGTGGCTAAGAAAAATGATAGGCAGGGCCAGGCTGGGGACAGAGTCCAATAGCTCCCCACTAGAGACCTGTCTCCCAGAAACATGGAGCCCTAGGGGCTCAAGAGCTGGAGGACCCCATCCCCTCCCAAACACACACCCTGAGGTCAACAGCCTGACTCCCCCTCTGCCATCCCTGGAGACCTTAACCCCAAGTCTCTCCCACTCCACCCTGCCCTCAGCTGGGAGTTGGCATTTGCTGGAAGGTAGGGCCAGAAGGCGTGATTGTTTGCTCTGGCAGCCTGGCCTGTGTTTCCTTTCTTCAGCCCACCCCACCCTCCCTCCAAGCCACCACTGGCAGGGCAAACAGATGCCAGCAGCTGTGGCTCCCTTCGGTCACATCTGTCGGCAGGCCCACCTACCCGGCCATCCTCAAACCCCCTCCAGATCACACAGTCACTTTGTAGGGACAGGGACCTATAAATGAGACCTGGGATGGGGCCTCCTAGGTCTTCTAGCTAATCCTGACTAGAAGAAGTTAAAAACAAAGTTTACTAGAGAGATTCTCTTGAGAAGCAAGTCAGAGATGGGGCAGAAAAAGAGAGAAAAACTAGATAAAGAAAGGCACCAAATGGCATTGGGGCTTACACCAAGAGTCCAGAAAAAGAGCTGGCAGGCAGGACACAGAAAGCCAGGTGCACAAATGATAAACCGCCCCCACTTCCAATAAAATATAGGGGAAGCAAAGGGGGGGGTGATTAACTTTAAGGCAGTGTGTCCTCACACTTGCGCACTAACATATACACTTCTATACATGTGTATTCACTCTGGCTCACTATATTACTACAGAGCACAATAGATATCCACCTGCCCCCTTACTAACTCTAAGCCAGAAGACACCCCCTTGCCAACTAGCCTCCTACCCCAAAGATAATGCCGTCGAAGGTAGGTCAAGGACAAGTAAACAAAGAAACTGCACATAGACCACCAGAAGAAATGATGTTGGGCAGAGGTGCCCAGAAGCCAATCTAGTTAAGGCAAGTTCCAGTAGAGGGGAAAGAGTCACTCACATCCCTCCCATAAAACAGCTGAAAACAAAGGGCCACGGGTCCTCCATCTTTCCAGAGCCCCCTACCCTGGTTCTTTCTCATTAGGATAGCTATCTTCTTTCTCCCTTCTTTTCCTCTTTACAAATAAAGTGTCTTCCTTTTGTTACACTTTGTCCCTCTGATTTATTACTGGGGCTGAGTCACCATCCTGGTGGGCTGTGCAGACACCAGAGCAGTGATGATTGTCCCCCAAATGCAACAATTTCACACTCCAGCTACCTTTGCAGTCACTTGTGTGCCCCCAGCCATGCCCTCTGGACAAACAGCTGGTGACCAGGGTGGCTGGTCACAGGCAGGCTGTCCAAAGGCCAAGTCTGTCCTCCCCTCTTTCCGCCTGCTGTGACCTAAGGCTACAGGCCTGGTACCACCCCAGCTCTTTCCAACTCCCCCACTAGGTAGATGGTGGCAGAACAGGTCACCCGATGGGGACAGGATGCAGACCCTGGAGCAGAGCATGAGTTGAAGGTGGGAAGCCTGAGCCAGGTGTTTGGGACAGTAATTCAGTCCCTCAGCATGGCTAGATCTTAGGGAGCAGGAGTGCAAGGATTGGAGGGGACCTCAGAGAGGCAAGGCTCTGAAATACAGAAGAGATGGGGTCAGATTTGCCTTCTAGAAAAGTCTCTTGTGGAAGCTGGTGGGGGGAAAGGGTAGGAGGGGAGGACAGAAGGAAAGGAGCCTGCGTTTGTCCCTAGGCAGATGGAGAGGTTGGTCCAAAGCGGAGGTGGGGCTACCACAGAAGGGACCTGGTAATGGGTTCAAGCCAGGGGAGAGGGAAAGTGAGGAGTCAGAGCTGACGCCCAAGCTTCTGGCTTCGGAGACTGGGTAGTGAGGAGCTCAGCCCTGGGGGATGGGCAGCAGGCCAAGTGAGGAGGCCAGTCGAGAGGTGCACTAGAGGCCAAGTGGGGTGGTAAGGGTCTGGGAGACTCCAGATGGAAGGTTGAAGCATAACCCTAGCCAGGCATGGTGGCACAGGCCTGTAATCCCAGCACTCAGGAGGCTGAGGCAGGAGAATTCCAAGTTCAAGGCCAGCTTGGGCAATTTAGCAAGACCATGTTTTAAACTTAAAAAAACCACAGCCGGGGATTTAGCTCAGTGGTTCCACCGCCTGCCTCACAAGGGTAAGGTCCCAAGTTCAATCCCTGGTACCAAAAAAAAAAAAGAAAGAAAAAGAAAAGCACAGTTCCGTGTTTGGGTTTCTGGGAAGTAACCTCAGATGGCAAAGGTGCCCCTGGTCCCCACCAGGTGGACAGGAAAAGCCATGACCCCAGAGTAGCTGAGCCACAGGCAGGTGAGCTGAGCCACATAGACTCTCTTGATTCTTTAAACACTGGGCCAGAGACTGTATCTGAAAGGCACTGGTGTGGACCAGACTTTGTCAGAGGGCCTGGCTCAGCATCATCTTGAGTGGAACAGCAGGAGAACAAAGGAAAGACAAGAGCATGAGAAACAGGAAGTTGAGGTGAGATCTCACATGGACAGACATCAGAGAGGCAGAGATGGAGGAGAGATGAGAGAGAGGCACTGCCTGAGGGTGCCCAGGTCCTCAGAGGCTCTAATGCACTTCTACCCTGGGCTTGCCAGATTCCACAGGGCATGATGCCATGCCCTTTCCGTATTGGAGCAGGTTTCTGGGGTTTTACATTGTTTTGTTTTGTTTTGTTTTTCGCAGCCAAAGGGCTGAGACTAGAAACAAGACTAGCTTTTTTTTTTCTTATACAGGGTCTTGCTATGTAGTTCAGGCTGGCCTTGAACTCACGGCAATCAATCCTCCTCCCTCAGCTTCCAGAGTGCTGGGATTACAGGGGGCACCATGCCTGGCTACAAGGCCATCTTTGAACCTGGGCTCTGCTTTTTAGAGGTTGTCGGGCAAAGCACTGCACCTTCTGAGCCTCACTTTGCTCATCTGTAATTATTAGGGTAAGCTAACAAACTCATCCCAAAAAGTGTAAGGGCTGAAGCATTACAGATGTTTATTTCTCAAAGCCCAAAGCCCTTGCTTGGTTGAGTGGTGATACCTAGACCTAGATTCCTTCCCCTTTGTAGTTCTTATATCTTCAAGATGGTTGCAAGGTTACCATACTAACTGCATCAAGCCAGAGGAAGGAGAAAGAGCACAGAGGTGGTAACCAGAGGTTTTTATGAGCTAGTTCTGACAGTGTATCCACCCATCTTGGTTTTTAGGAGCCAGTCTTCTCATATTCCATTGGCTAAAATTGGGTCGCATGGCCTTGTCTAACTGCAAGGGAAGCTGGGAAATGTAGCCTGACTGTGCTCAGAAAGAAGAAAAAGAGTTGATGAATAGCTAAATGGCCTTAGCCATATGGAGATAATATAATAGCCCACTCCCAGGTAGAGTTATGGATCCTACAGCCAGCAGGTATCCTTTTTGGTTTTCATTTTGGGAATCTTCCCTTCCCCTCTCCACTCCCAGTGATTCCCACAAAAAGGATCTCATTTCCTAGATCCAGGGA